GTCCTGATTTGTGGTCCTGGCTTTGCTGTGATCTCCGGTCCGTGGGGAAATCAGCTGTCTTTTCTGTGTGGAAACCAGAATTTTAACTCTTGTGTTTCCATACAGCACTGCAGCTGTACAACAGGGAGCACTCTGCACTCCTGCCTTTAGCTGCTGAGGATTAAACTATAGGCAGTGACCTGGAAAGCTGTCCCAGTTTTCCTTATGGCAGTATGTACACATTTTGTTACGGGCATACTGCAGAAGCCAGCTCTTCTGGCACCCTAGCCAGACTAGAGAAAAATGTGGACTTCTTTATATGCCTAGAAAAACGTATTTGGAACAGACTCTCAGGATAAAAATTGCATATTTAGAGGTCTGTTCCTAGAGTATGAGCTTGGCTATGGGCACAGGACAAAGAGACATCAATGCTGTTAACAAAACTTTAAAGGGACTGTAGGTTGTTTTTCAGTAATTGTTCAGATGTACACATTTTGTTACGGGCATACTGCAGAAGCCAGCTCTTCTGGCACCCTAGCCAGACTAGAGAAAAATGTGGACTTCTTTATATGCCTAGAAAAACGTATTTGGAACAGACTCTCAGGATAAAAATTGCATATTTAGAGGTCTGTTCCTAGAGTATGAGCTTGGCTATGGGCACAGGACAAAGAGACATCAGTGCCGTTAAAACTTTAAAGGGACTGTAGGTTGTTTGTCAGTAACTGTTCAGATTCACTTAAAAAACTAGAAGGGCTCTTTCTCTTCCACTGATCTGGCAGAATTGAGGACCTCTGGAAGAAAATTGGACATTACAGGATTATGATTGGTAACGATTTTTCTGCTCTGGATCCCCAGACGTGTAATTGCAGTGGGGAATTATCACCAGCATTTCTCTGTTGTTAGCGTGGATCCTAGTAAAGAAGGATAAGTCATGTCTTAACATTCCTGATACGTGCAGATGAGAGATAATTTGTGGTGATTACATCTTGAGAGGCCAGCAGAAGACTTGTGAAATAGATCAGAAGTTAGTACGTCCAACGTAGATTTATTTTTAAAGTTTACATTCCTCACAGTAATCTAATAAAAGGTCTGACTCAGTGCCCGAAGTGCCTGAAATGGCATAAAGTGTAAGATTTTTTTGGCCCTGATGCTGAATTCCTCGTCGGAAAGAATTCTGTTAATAGACACGACCTCCCTTGGGTAAATTGCATCCACTCAGCACTGTCAAGCATGAGTGGTGTTTGGCCGTATCAGGGGATGAAATACAGTCATAGATTGCAAAATACCAATTCTGATAGCATGACAATGCTGTTTATTCCTTTTTTTTCGTACCAAGAGGATGCTCTGTGTTTAGCAGGGCCTTCAAAACGGGATTATTTTGTAATTAATTAAAAGACTGAGTCAAATGTGTGTTGTGGAAGGGAGTTTGCTTGGTTTTGTTTTTTAAAGGAACTGTTGCTTTGTAGGGGAATTGAATGTCTAAAATATAATCATTGCTGTGGACTCCCTGTCAAGTCTGAACGCCACTAAGGAAAATATGAGGCAGTTTTGCTTGTCTCCTGTTTGCTGCAGAAAAAGCTGCGAAATAAGAATTTCTGTTTGCCATTTTGATGTGAATGCAGCTGCTTGAGAGTTTATAAAAGCTGTGCGTTTCTGAACTGCACAATGAACCATTAAAACTTGGGGATAGAATGGCTCATTTTGGAACGCTTTTAAAAACAGTGGAAAAACTGAGCTGAGAAAATAGCCGATGAAAATAATCTGGTGCTGGTGTTGGGAGGAAGTTTTGCCTCCTGATTTTCAGATAAATTTCAGAAATTTAATTCAAAATCTCCGGAATGCTGGAGAGCCTCCTCACGTCTATGAGAAATGAGAGGAGTCATGGTGAGTGGCAGCACATATTTGAAGACTGTTTCTGTTTCCCAAGCCTTCTGCCTGGCAACCTCCTTAAGATGGCCAGCTTGACCACAGCTTCCTGTAAAAGCAGTTTAAATTTAAATAGGATTTAATTTAAAATAAGCTTGTAAAACAAGTTAGCACAGAGCGTAGGTCAGCTTGGTTAGACTTTGTATTAAATCCTAGGACTTAGGCTGTCCACCTTCCATTCTGCTGCTCCCTGGAGGTGGCTGAAGAGTCTATGATTGAGGTTTTA